AGCCCATCTCAGAAAATGCATGTTTCTTCATTCGGTGATAAATTTAAAATGTTTAGATGTGCATACTTCCTTTCAGGGTAAGTGAAATTATACAAATTACATAAACAAAATAATAAGCAGCAGCCAAAGAAATAAAAAACCTAGGAAAGAACAGCCAACTGAATCTAGTCTGCAGCCACACCATTCAATATATCTATTCATATCTTTCAGTTCTTGCAATCCATCTTGCTTCCATCCCATCCATGCGCTATTTTATAATTGATTTTTGTTCTTTGACTTTTTCACCTCTCTCTTTTAGATTTCATCAACTTCTCTAGCCACAGCCTCCTTAGATTTCTCTTTCCCTCACATGTGATTGCTTTGTGCTTCACTCATCATTCCTTTTCCTTTTATGGCCAAACTATCTCAAGGTATTTACTACATTTTGTACTAGTTCAACATTCATTCATCACCCCCTTCATTCTTGACTCTATCTCTCCTTGTTTTATCATATACACTTAAGTACCCAATTCCCACTGCAGTCAATTTAATGTTTCTCCTGCAAGACTCAAATCTCAACTAACAGATAACAAATCACTTAGGAGTGAAATACTAAAAAAATAATCAAATAGGAAACAAGTCTGATGTGAAGCTGAATACACACATACACACCATGGTGTGTGAAGGATTAAATGGTGTAGGCCATCAAACTAAACTTCAGAATATCAGCTTATTAACACTTTCCATGTATGGGAATTAAATTTAGTTGGTGTAGCGTCAATGTAAAAAAGGATCTAAGCTTGATTAAACTTTCTAGGCATAGTTATCTAATCCACAGATAAATTAAAAACATATTTAATACACTCATGGAGAACATCAGGGAATGTTTAGCAGAGCCATAGTAATAAATCCTATCTAGTTAATAAAATATTTAATCACAAGTATTACAAATTTCCTTCTGGCTCAGTTATTTCTCATTCTGCCAGAAGTTTTGGAGACTCCTGATCTAAGTTATTCTATCTCATACATATTTGTATTTCCATTAATATAACCTTGATATATACTTGTTCTTCTGATTTAGTGTGAAGATCTTTCTCAAGCACGAAACATAAACTCCTAATAAAACAAATTAACATTTTTAAATTGCCTATTTTAGTAAGCATCCGTGTCTGCTTAGAAGGATATCTGAGGCCTTTTACATTCTACAAAATCACTAAAGATGACACAAATACAAAAACTGCATATTAACAAACCCAATATTTGAATAATTTAAAAAAAGAATTTTGATTTAACTTGAGACACACTTTCAAAACTAAAGTTGAAAAGTAAGAAATAAAAAAATCAACAAAGAAATAAGACACTTTAAAAGAAAAATAGAAAGCAAAAAATGGGAGGGGCTAGAAACTATTACTACTGAGGACTTCTGGCTGAGGTATGTTGAAAATACAAGAGAATATGACCCCCCACAATCAAGGGAGAGTCCCATGTCTCTCTAAAAATATGAACTGTAAAATTAAATTCTGAAAAAGACTGCTACTTCTTTGCTGCAGATGATCCCAGAGTAATGGTTTTTTTCTATACCTTTTAGATCAGAAAGTTTATTTGGATGAATTGCTTAAATTCTAATGCTGGGCTCTGGAAGAGTTCTTCTTCCAGAGGTTGTGCGTGCTCCACCATTGGAGGTTTTGAAGAAGAGGTTGGACAGCAATTTGTTTGGAATAGTACAGGGTCTTCTCCTTGGACAGGGGGGTCAGACTAGAAGACCTCTAAAGTTCCTTCCAACTCTGTTATTCTGTATTGTGCATCTAGAGTATGCAGGGAGGGAGGGAGGAGAAGGTAAATGCAAAATCAAATCCAGTGATGGGTAAATTTGGTTCCCTTCCAAAAGTTTTAGATTTTGATTCAAGCTAGATTCAACCAACACGGCCAGTGCAAGTGATTCTGAATTATAATGCAAAAAAAAAATAGGAGAGGTGTCAGCTTTCATGTTTGCCTAATCACGGAACTTAAGCAGATTCAATTCTGGCTATATATCTCTAGTCAAGAGCAACTCACGCTCTTGTCCTCCCCCAGTTGGAATACTGCAATGCATTCTCACATGGGGTTTCGTTTGAAAAGTCCTTTGAAAACTGCACCTGATCCAAAGTGTATCAACTTGCTCACTGGTGGATGAGATCTACTGTTCACATATTAATGCCAATATTTTACCAGAATGCTTCCAGGTACAATTTAAAGTGCCAGTGTAAGAATGACTTTAAAAAAACCGAAAGAATAACTCTTTAAACTGCCTAGAGAGGGCTATAAAGCACTATGAAGCATTATACAGTATAAGTCTAAGTGTTATTGCTATTTAACCTTTAAAACCCAGAATGGCTTGGCCTTTAGGTACCTACAGGTGAAACTTGAAAAATTAGAATATCGCGCAAAAGTTGGTTTATTTCAGTAATGCAACTTAAAAGGTGAACCTAATATATAAGATAGACTCATTACATCCAAAGCAAGATAGTTCAAGCTGTGATTTGTCATAATTGAGATGATTATGGCTTACAGCTCATGAAAACCCCAAATTCACAATCTCAGAAAATTAGAATATTACATGCAATCAATAAAACAAGGATTGTAAATAGAACAATATCGGACCTCTGAAAAGTATAAGCAGGCATATGTACTCAGTACTTGGTTTGGGCCCCTTTTGCAGCAATTACTGCCTCAATGCGGCGTGGCAGCCTGTGGCACTGCTGAGGTGTTATGGAAGACCAGGATGCTTCAATAGCGGCCTTCAGCTCTTCTGCATTGTTCGGTCCCATGTCTCTCATCTTTCTCTTGGCAATGTCCCATAGATTCTCTATGGGGTTCAGGTCAGGCGAGTTTGCTGGCCAGTCAAGCACAGTAATCCCACGGTCATTGAACCAGGTTTTGGAGCTTTTGGCAGTGTGGGCAGATGCCAAGTCCTGCTGGAAAATGAAGTCAGCATCCCCATAAAGCTCGTCTGCAGAAGGAAGCATGAAGTGCTCCAAAATATCCTGGTAGACGGCTGTGTTGACCCTGGACTTAATGAAGCACAGTGGACCAACACCAGCACCAACACCAGATGACATGGCTCCCCAAATCAACACAGACTGTGGAAACTTCACACTGGACTTCAAGCATCTTGCAGTGTGTGCCTCTCCATTCTTCCTCCAGACTCTGGGTCCTTGGTTTCCAAATGAGATGCAAAAGTTGCTCTCATCAGAAAAGAGGACTTTGGACCACTGAGCAACAGACCAGTTTTGTTTTTCTTTAGCCCAGGTAAGACGCTTCTGACCTTGTTTGTTGTTCAGGAGCGGCTTGACAAGAGGAATACGACATTTGAAGCCCATGTCCAGGATCCCTCTGTGTGTGGTGGCTCTTGATGCACCAGCCTCAGTCCACTCTTTGTGAAAGTCCCCAACACTTTTGAATGGCCTTTTCCTGACAATCCTCTCCAGGCTGCGGTCATCCCTGCTGTTTGTGCACCTTTTTCTTCCACACGTTTCCCTTCCACATAACTTTCTATTAATGTGCTTTGATACAGCACTTTGGGAACATCCAACTTCTTTTGCAAAATTACCTTTTGAGGCTTTCCCTCCTTATGGAGGGTGTCAATGATGGTTTTCTGTACAACTGTCAGGTCAGCAGTCTTTCCCATGATTGTGATTCCTACTGAACCAGACTGAGAGACCATTTAAAGGCTCAGGAACTCCTTTCAGGTGTTATGGCTTAATTAGCTGATTAGAGTGGGACACTTTGAGCCTAGAATATTGAACCTTTTCACAATATTCTAATTTTCTGAGATTGTGGATTTGGGGTTTTCATGAGCTGTAAGCCATAATCATCTCAATTATGACAAATCACGGCTTGAACTATCTTGCTTTGCGTGTACTGAGTCTATCTCATATATTGGTTTCACCTTTTAAGTTGCATTACTGAAATAAATGAACTTTTGCACGATATTCTAATTTTTCGAGTTTCACCTGTACATAGCCATTGACTTCAAGTGGTTCCTACTGATCCAATAACATATGGATGCTTAAGATTCCTCCCCTGTATGAGGTGTGATATCCAGGAGATACGTTTGTTGTTTTTAATCAATGAACCACCTTCCACCTAGTTTTATCACCACTGAGCTTTTTAACAAGCCTTAAACACTGAATGGTTCAGACGGACATTTATTTAACACTGGTCATCAATATCGAAATAGGTGGTAAGAGTTTGACAGTTTAAAAAAATAATTACTGTTCTTGTATTTCTGTATTACTATCACTTTTATTTATTGTACACTGTCATGAGATTGGAAGGGCGCTTGTGGGTGTACATAAATACATAAATATTTGACTGGCAGTGATACTGTCATAAAATATGGAAGACTATCTTGTTTCATACGTCCAACATTCTGACTTCTTGTCCCTGGGATTTCAAGGATTCCCTTTCCCCTTGATAATTTGTACAGCTGTTAAAACAATACTATTCCGTCATGCTTTTGCAAAAGATCAAAGGTTTCTGATGGCCATTAGAGGATTTCTATTACTTGTATGTCTTTCTTTTATTCTGCATGTTTATTCTGTTTGTCCACAACCTTGATTGTGTTAGTTTACCACCCCCCCCCCCCCCCCCCCAAAAAAAAAAAAGGTGAAATAATCACATTTTCTCCAACTCTTTTACTGGTCGTCTCTTAACTATGAGCACAAGGTTGATGAATGATCCAAGATTGTTTAAACTTTCACCAGTCAATATGCAAACTGCGAGCTTCCCCCTCCCTTTATTTCAGCTGTTTTGCATTTCTTTTAGTAACCCTCAGAACAACTATTGGGAGGTCTAAAATGCTTTTGAAGAAATTAATTCTGAATTCACCTTGGCTGCAAAAAATCAGAATTTCGATGACAGCAAAGAGCAGGGGGGAAAAACCCTAACACTTTGGCACTGCCTGGTGGTCATCTGGAGTTTTACACAACCACAAATAAGATAGCTCTAGGATAGGAAAAACAAACATTGAAAAGGCATACTTGAGGACACCAAGTGGATCCACATCACTCTCTTCCTCTTCTGTTTCCTTTTCGGCCTCCTGGCTTTTAAATGAACTGAACTGAGAAATGACATCAGGTATTTTTTCCTCTTTGAAAAAATCAAAGTCTTCGGTTTCATCATCCTCTTCTTCCTTCTTGGGAAGGTTTTTACTCTTGACATCAATGACACTAGTGGATCTGGTTCCTGTAAAAAGAGGCAGAGAAAAATTAATGCAGCAGCACACAATAGACACAGATATTATTCCTCCACCTGAGTATCACCAACAGCTACCCAGTATTCTTATACTGGAGGAAAATATGCCTTTTGTATGTGAAAAAACAGTACATTTCCACACCATGTAAAGAATTTGTGGCAATAAATATATTTTACTTAGGGCACTTTTGAATCATAGTTTTCTATTTCCAAATCTCCCAGAAAACAATCTGAAACTAACATTCTCACATCTAGATAAGATGTTCCTGTGCATTTGTAGTATTATATTTGTAAGGAAGCAAACCAAACGTATCCTGCATTAGATATTTGTGACAATGAGAATTTAACCTAGTTTTTAAGTGGAAACATTTTGCTGTTTTTGCAGAGTTCCAAGAGCTGATCCATGGCCTATTTATTAAAATTCCACTCAGTGTGAAGAACGGGTTTTTAATTTACCCAGAAATTCCAGTAACTCGGGGCTTGATGCGAGAGCCACATCTTTAGAAATCAACCCCATAATCTCATTGAAGGCAGCTCTTCGTTCTCGAATATCAGATTCTCCAACAAAAAGCACTTTTCTTGGCAAAGGTGGTAGAGAGGTTTGCGGGTAACGTGTGACAAGTTTTTGATAAAACTCATCAATATCACTGTACTTCTTAGAAACCTGCAACATAGGGAGAAAAATATCCATTATTTAAATGACAGGCATAAACATGTAATAGATCAGACTAACAATTTTTCTGAAAGAAAATTCAGTACCAGATTTCCCGCACATCATATATAGACAACCAACCTAGGCCAGGAATAAGTAGGGTCAATATTTTCAGCAGGTTTTTTAATGACCTTCAGTAAACTATATGCATGCATTAAGACTTTCAGAAGTTTAACAGATCTCTTTTAAAGTTTATATCTTAAAGTATACATGCAACTAAAGGTGCCAATTTATTGTGAGTGGTGCTGTGGATGACAAAAATAGATCTGTAGATTTCCATTCTTGCAGTATGTGAACTTGGTGATTTCGGCATACTGGACTATTAATATTCTTGAAATGATTGTTATCACCTAGAGGAAAGGCTTGGGAGAAATGGGTCTTTAGTAGGTGTCTAAAAGATCTATCAAGAGATGCTTCCAAATATTGGTGATGAGGTGGAGAAATTATTCTAAATATTGGTGGGACAGAATTATTCCAAAGAGTGGACATCGCTATAAGGAAAGTCCACTTGCAAATTACAGTAAGATGATACTCTGAAAAAAAAAAAACCAATCATATTTATGCCCCTGTGAGTTCTGGCAAGAATCAGGGCAGCGATCAGGGGCCCAGGCAATTGGTTCTTTTGGATCCAGAGACAAAGAACACTAGTGAATAAAGGGGTTTTGAAACTTTATTATTAGCTTGAGCTAACAGATTTAAAAGCAAGTATAAAAACAAGCAGGTTAGCTAAAATGAGCTCTAAATGTCTAGATTTTTCTTAATACGAAGGAGGAATAATAATATGTCACTAAACTGCTTGAAATAGCAAAAAAAAAAAAAAAACCAACCTTTTTTTCAAATACTAAGACCTATGGCAGATGTGATACAATTAATCTGGTACTGTCGGGTAATTTTCAGTCTCCCACCTTTTTTTTTTAATTGGAGCATTTGCTTCTTTTTTCAAAAGAAAGGATATCAAAGGCACAACAAATCTTATTTGACTGCTACAGGGGTTGGATAGGTGATTATGTTTTGTGACAAAAGGTGGGTGGTCTCCATTAAGTATCTCTTGGGCCCAGGAAGGAGAGTAAAATACTTCTGGTTATAGCCTCTGCTTAGATCTTAGGTAGGGAACATGCTCAGCAAAGAGTTTTGGAAGACCACATAAATTCCATCGTGTATGCTATGGCCATACTAAGGGCCAGAGTAAATGGAACAAAAAGTGAATAATACAAAAGACTATCTTCGTAAATAAACATTTCGCTTCTGATAGTGAGTGGTCAGTCAGGTTTTCAGAATTCATAGAAGCTAAGAAAATTTCCTCCATTCCTCAGTTGCCTTGACAAGGGAGAAGCAGAATGAAATGAAGGAAAGGATAGGGTGGTACATACTAGTGTGTGTTGCAGATTAAGGGTGGGCGGGGACTATTGCTCAAAAGGCCATTTTTGCCTCCATGACTAAAGCATGGCTTTATAAATAATTTTCAGGATGGAATGGAAGGGATTATTTATCACTTTTGCTGACTACAGCAAGCCTCAGAAGTTTTGCCTTGGAGGACAAGATTGCATTACGAAGTTATTTTGACAGATTAAGCTCCGGGTCTGTTCCATCAGGATTATGTTCAAGCATGATAAATATAAAGTCCAGCATTTGGGTAGGATAAATCAAATGCCTAGGTACAGAACCTGGAAAGGTATGGTTTGGCAGTAGCGTATGTAAGAAATATCACCAGGTGAACATGACTAAGCATATAATACAGAAGCTGAAAAAGCCAGGGCAAAGTTGGCCCATAGAAACATGGGCATACTGCATCCATTGTAGGAAGTAGTAGTTTTATTATGTACTCTGCATTGGAAAGGCATGGCTTGGGAGTTGTGGACTTAGTTTGGGGAACTGCACTTTCAAAGAGAAATGGAGTGGGTTCGGAGAACAACAACTAGGACAAGCGTTCTGGAAGCCACAAGCAGTGATGTTAAACTGGCAGCCCAAAGGGCAGATGCATCACACATAGGCCACACCCATCCCAGCTCCCTGAAGGGGGGGAAAAATCACTATACATCATGTGACGGCAACATGACGGCGCACGTTTGACACCTATGCTATAAAGGAGCAATTATGAGGCACATTTAGAAAGCAAAAGGGAAGCTTCAAAGATATGACAGCAGTCTACAAATATCTAAAAAACATCACATGCATAAAGGAGTCCACTATTGAAAGCAGTGAGAATCAGGAGGAATACTGAGGAATTTCCTGATAGGAAGAAATATTAAGCAGTAGAGCCGCCTATCAACAGCAGTGGTGAGCACTGGGAGATTTCACTCAGGGGCTGGATGGCATTTGCTTGAGATGGTTTTGTGGATTCCTACACTGAACAAGGAATTGGACCAGAGGCCCTAAACCAGCCTTCCTCAACTTTTTTTTTTCCTCCTGGAGGAACTCCTGAAATAATTTTCAAGTCCCAGGAAACCCCTACATAAGAATTACTATATCTACAGGTCACAGAACATTTGCAGGATAAGTTAGCAGAGTCACAGTGAGTAAAAGTCCCCACCACTGCAAACTTTAGCTCTCTGTGACACAGGAAGGTAAAAGAACAAATGCTTTTTTAAAAAAAATCATGATCTCTTGTGAAATCCTAGGGTTCTGCAGAACCCCGTTGAGAGAGGCTGGTAAGACATTTAATTCTACTGCCTCTTTCTGGAGTTGTGATCTGTTACAACTATTAACTCCAGCAATGTTCACAAAGAATGCTTCTGAATAAAGACGCATACACTTTTTATAAGGCTCCATTGTCCACTGGTAATTTACAAGCTAACAGAAGAAGAAAAGCCATTTTGTGGCTAAAAAGCAACTAATCAAGACTAAAAGATAAAGCAGTATTTTAAACATTGTATTGAGCAATGTTGTATCCTATAGCTCAAACCAGCATCCATCTCATCAGAGAAACAGAAAAAAATATTCAGTCTTTGTTCAAACATTAACCTGTAGCTTGTTTACCAAATTAAAACTTATTCTATAACTTTGTAAAAAAAAACTTTACCTTCTGTTACAGAATAAACTTAAGTTACATACAAATGTAGCAAAACCCTTTCATTTCAAATCAGAGCAAAATATTACACAACTGTCAGAGAAGCATCAACGGTTCTGTCCAGCATGAAATCATGATTTCAGATTTCAGACTGACATCCTACCAACATGACTACAGTTTCAACAGTGCTTGAGTGCCCTCTACTGGAACATGTTATCCCAATCCAAAGAATGAAAATCTGATTTTCTTCGTTTTGCTACAGAAAATCCATGTCTGTCAAATTAATATCAAAGCAACTGAACTGAATAAGTGTGCAGAAGGTGTTTATGGTCTGAGTGATGTTTCTCAAGTTGTGTAAATCTGGAAGCCGCTACACTACTCTGTAGTGTTGCATTGAACTTTGCATTTTGGGATCTTGCACTACTACTGAAGCAGCACTTGAAAGTTCCTTCCTCAGTTCTGGTTATCTAGAACCAACATTTCTCCAATTAAAGTAAGCCTAAACTCAAATTGCTGATTAATTGGCTTACAACAAAATGCATACAACAGCAACATACAATAAAAACATCTACAACACCAAACACAACCCCATAGGCTCCAACATCAAAGATCCAACAATATTACTCCTTCAGAGAACTTTGAAAACCTTGTTTTTTTCCCCCAAGCTGTGGCTTAAGTAGGGATGTATATCCATCTGAATAGGAGGTGTGTAATAAAGTTGTAGTGTGGTTGTTTCCCACGATTATGGTCCTCATTTATTTCCTTGTTTTCTTTGTTAACGTCATCTATTTGGGTTTTGTTTTAATATGTACAGATTTATAGATTAAATTTATCAAACAGCTCCATTGGGCAATCTTACACATTTAAATTATTAATCTGACCAGCAGTTTACCAGATACAGTGGGATTGAGTGCAGACCGCAACGAGATTTAACTTTAGAGAAACTGACTTATTTCCAGGGCTGGCTTTCCAAAAGATTATGATGAGCCAGATTTCTCAACCTTGACAGCTTAACACAAAGAAAAGAATACTTTCAGAGGAATTCATAAGTGCTTTTGAGAACAGGAGCTGGGAACCTATGGCAACTTCTGGAAAATTACCAACAAATACAGAATACAAAGTGCTTCAGATGGCTTTCTACACTCTGGCTCACTCTGATTGGCTGAGCTCTGTGAATTCTTAGTAATGGCCATGCTGCCTGGGAAATTCTAGGAACTGAGGTCCAAACAGTGGAGGACTCCCAAGTTAGGAAAAATTAACTTTGGACTTTTAGTTGGCCTTGTTGCAGCATCTGCTGTGTAAAAGAGTAACACCAAGTCAGCTTTAACTCTTACATTGGGATGTAAAATTTCACATTTAATCTTACAGGACTGAGTATTTCTCCACTAAAACAAGCAAAATCCTTCCATGTAGAATGTAAGAATATCAGAGAAAATTTCCCCCAATAATCCAATATTCAAGGTAATAAAGCATCCAGTCATAATATGCTGTCTGGTACAGGTCGTCCTTGACTTACAACATTTAGTGACCATTTAAAGTTACAACAGCACTGAAAAAAGTGACTCATGTCCGTTTTTCACCCTTATGACCATTGCAGTGTCACCATGGTCATATGATCAAAATTCAGACACTTGGCAACTAACTCATATTTATGACCGTTGCAGTGCCCAAGGGGTCATGTGATCCCCTTTTGTGACCTTCTGACAAGCAAAGACAATGGGGAAACCAGGTTCACTTAACAACCGAACTACTAAAATATCAACTGCAGTGATTCCCTTAACAACTGTGGCAAGAAAGGTCATAAAACAGGGCAAAAGTCAGTTAAACCAAGTCTCACTTAGGAACAGAAATTTTGGGCTCAACTGTGGTCTTAAGTCGAGGACTATCTGTACAGCCGATCCAATGTTACCCTTTTGCTAAGACCAGGCATGCGCCTAATTCTTCATGAGGAAGGACTTTGGTGGCACTGCCATTAGCTATGAAGCTTCAAAAATCATGCATAGCTTTATTCATATTCTATTCCACACACAAATCAATAAATGATTTTACTATGTTTGGGTTTGGGATTTTGTTTCTTTTTCCCCTTTTAATTTTATTTGTGTTCCTTTATACTTGGTCTATTTTCATAATTCATAATATATTTTTAATGTATGTTGCCTGGAATGAAATTAATAAGTTTGGTTTCTCATTGTTATGATGTGGACTCTTAATAGAATTACGTACAAAATACATTTACAAATGATTTCATTACCATAAACTGAACGTTGTCTTCGGATTTGTGCTTGGCAGATTTGAACACAGCCAGTTGAGTAACTACTAAAATATTATATTCCACATGCCCAGACATCATCTTTCCTCGTATTTCTTGATACTCTGGGACTGACAGATCTATTCCTGTATGGCCATTCTGAAGAGGTCTGTAGAGGTAAAAACATGAATTTCAAAGATACGTGTCAGCTTTGGAATCCATACTGAGATTCAATGCTCTCACACTGCCTCAAGCCTGAGAAAGTGGGAGGGGGGGGAATTCAACTGAGTATCTCCAAGTAGACAAAATTCTTTTGTTAGTTCAAGGTCATTTAGTATGGCGCAGAATGAAATAAGAATCTTACTTTAGGACAGATCATGATTGGGCCATGTGATGTGATGACGGCCAAGGGGGGATGGATTTGTAGTTTTGAATATTGCAAGGAAGCCCGAAAACTTTCAGATTCGGGATTCCACAGATGTGCCAGTTTCTATCCAAATAAAGGTATCTTTAAGATATGTCTGTCTCAGAGTTATTGATTGGATTGGAGGTTTGCTTGGAACGCTGACAATATGTTTTCTTAATTCTGACGCTGGTTTTTGACTCTTTTCAGATCTGGGGAAAAAAAAGATATTATCATTTGGAAGTAAAAATTATGCAATAAGCTGGGATGGTTGCCTCATTTGATTATGGAGATTCTCAGTCATCCAGGTCATGGTTGTCCAAAAGGTGCTTTTTCAAGAGGCAACTGGAAAAACAAAGTCCAGTTGCCTTTTGAAAATGCCTAATTTGAAGTTTTTAAGAGAGGAAAAAAAGAGAAAATGTGAAGCTATTTTATTTAGGACAAGTTTGTCTCTTTGATACAGAAATAATACTTTCTGCCAATACAAAGCATTTGATCTATTTTTTTAAAAAATAGATATATGATAGGTCTCTAAATAGCTTTAATTTCATAGCCACCGGGCAATATGATACTAAAGGATAGTGATGCGTTTGTCATTATTCTTCCTTTCTGCAGAATCAGTATGTACGATCATAGTTGCATGAGGAAGCATTCAATATAAATTAAGTAACCGAAACTTTCCAGAAATACCTTTGCACCAGTTCACAACTGTAATGGCAACTGTAATGCTACATTAGCTGCCCTGGCTTCCATTTCCTTTCCAGCTCATGATTATCACTTTAAATTCCTACATGCTGCAGGCCCTGGTTACTTGTGGGACCACTTCTCTCTGAGGATATCTGTCCATCCAATGAAGTTAGTCCCCTCCCTTAAATGTTGCCATCTATTGGGACTTAGGAGGTGTTCCTTCTCAGTGGCTTCCCCAGACATTTGGGACAGTGTCCCACTGGAAATCAGACATCATCCCTATCCTTTTAGCCTTTTGGAAGACTGTGAAGACATGGCTTTTCCCCCCAAGCACTGAGCTAGAATGGATGGTTGAACTCTAAGGATGTTTGGTCTGGTGCCTGGATGGGGGAACGGTTATATTTTCAGCTATGTTTTATGGATTGTTCTGAGCTGCCTAGAATCATTATGTAAGAGAGGTAGTCATATAAGTGGAAGGAAAAAAGGAAAAAAGGAAGGAAGGAAGGAAGGAAGGAAGGA